AAAAAAAACAAAAAAAAAAATACAGGATAAACCCGTCTCTTTGGCTCCCCCAATTTTTCTTTTTTTTTTTTTTTTTTTGTTTATGCCATCTATTGGCATTTTTTTTTTGGAACAGAACATTTTTTGATGAATACGAACGCCATCTTGTATCGTAAAATATCATTCATTCATTAAATGTGAATGTGAGGGAGTGAGTGCGCAACAAGATATACTTTTTATAATTACCGGCTGCTTCTGCTGTTGTTATGAATCAAATTGAATTTTTATTTTTTTTTTGCGTACGTGAGTTATGCATGAAAAAAAATAACAGCCACTACCACTACTAGATATATAAGACAAAGGTGATTTTTTTTAATGTATTATTTTATGCTTCTACCTTTTTTGTTTCTTTTTTTTTTGAATTTAATGGCCGCCATTACTATTATTATTACTACTACTTTTGGTATTTGTATTGTTCATAATAGTGAATTGAATGTCAAATGTTCATGGCTATACCACTACTATGCTCTTCTATCTATGTGGATATTCGTTTGTTTTGTTGGAACGTTTTGTTGTGTTGTATAATACCATTCGATTCGTTTTTTTTTTGGCTCTCTCTTTTCTCTTTACAGATATTTTTGTTTTGTTGTATGTGTGTTTGTGTGTAATAATAATGTTTGTTATACAAACACAATTGTGATTAGCATCCCTTGTTTATAATCATCAATTTATAATATTAAAAACAAATTTATATTAACATTATTATTATTATTGTTGTTAATGGCAATGATTTATTTGTGAATTTTGTTTCATCATCATCGAATTATTCAAGACAAAATCAAAAGAAAGAAGGCCAAATAATAATAAAAAAAAACTCGAAATGATTGATTGGAATCGCCATGAGCCACGTATCACCATTTGTAAACATATATACAAATGTCAATAAATGTTGGCTAATGTTTATCGAATTCCAATTGTCATAGAATAAATCAAGTTTGTTCAAAATCAAATTCATTCAAGAACAACAACCAATCATGAAGGAAACTAGTCAAAAGTTTCATTCACAAGAAAAACCAATCAAAATGTCAACAACAGAATCATCATCGTCGTCGTCGGAAAGTAAAAAATCATCCAACAATATCTCTACGGTTGCTGTTCCAAATAACGGTGATAATTGTGTTGTTGTAACCAATTCAAGAAAAGAAGAGTCCAATTCAAATGGTCGCATTCATCCATCATCAACATCACCGACCACAACAAAAATGATGAAAAAATCATCATCAAAAGTAAATCAATTATCATATCGTGATCGAATGAAACGAAAATTATCCGATGTATCATCATCAACATCGACAACAAATACCATAAACGATCCATTATATCATGCATTCAAACGTATGTGCCAACAAGATGATTCTAGACGCATGCTGTTTCGAATATTAGCTCAGGATTCATCATCAACACCGGATGCTTGTTCATCAACAACAGCTGCCAATACATTGATCAAAGAATTTGTACAACGTCTTCGTTGTAATGTTGGAAAATCTGAAAATCAACACGAACAATCATTATCAACCAATGAAGTAAATGATTCGATGATTGTCAACGCAGTAGCATCCACATCGACATTACCATTATCACAACAATCACCATCAACCAGTCATCGTGATAATAACAACAATGTTCATGTTCAAACAATCAAACAGGAACCGAATGACCACAATCATCATGACCATGATCATCTTCATCATCATCATCATCACCATGTTCATAATTCCACTGTTTGTAATGAAAACAACCAACCATCATCATCATCATCATCGAATCAGGTGAAAAAGTCAAATGTACGAATTCAATGTAAAATCGTACAATATCTGGCCACACAGATTCGCAAATTACCATTAGCATTATCGCTATCATTGATGACACCAAGATTACCAATGCCGGCAGCAGAATTACAAAATCTACGATATGGAAAATATTTTCGCGTTGAACAATGTCCGAATGGTTATGCAAAAGTATTGCATCTTTATTGGGATGAAATTGCTCATCTTGATCGACAACAGAAACTGGAATTATCTGCCGAATTCATGAAGGAAAGCTTTCGTGAAGTAAAACCAAATGTTTCAGCCTATGTAATTAGCATTGTACATAATGCCGCTTATTATATGCCAGATTGGCTTGAATGGCTTTCCGATTCGAATCCAAATCTTGCGGTTAAGGCAGGCAAACTTGGTCAATCCGGTTCGGACATTGAAACAACCACAATGACCAAATATCGTCAACAAGTAAGTGAAACATTGTTTCCTATCTCATGATGATCGATAATAATAATGGATTTATCCATGATCAGGTTCATCGAACTTATTTGAATGGTACTTTTCGATATGGTCCATTACATCAGGTGTCGGTAGTAGGCACTGTACACGAAGAAGTTGGTGGTTATTTCCCTCGATTAATTTCAATTCTGGAGAAATCACCATTTCTTCGCTTAGTAATGCCATGGGGACCAATGTCATCGTTACACATGTCATCGCCAACTGAATCAAATGATGGCCCAATACTTTGGGTCCGTCCTGGCGAACAACTAATCCCGACCGCTTGTCTTTCATCATCAAATTCATCAAACACTACACCTAAACGTCAGAATGAACTACGTGGTCTGTTACGACGATCATCCGAACCTCGAGAATTCATGTTCGAAGATAGGTTAGTTAATTTCATTCAAATAACGAAAAATCACCAACATAATCTATTCTTTTTCTACAGAACTAGAGCTCATGCCGATCAAGTTGGCGAAGGTTTAGAACGGCAAACTACTGCAGCTGTCGGTGTATTGAAAGCAATACATTGTGGACAACAGCCCAAGTATAATCGTGCCACCAAAGATGTTGTAGCATTCGATGCTGCCCATTTTGATGAACTCACCATGAAACTACAGTTGGATCTTTATGAACCACCCGTTTCTCAATGCGTCACGTGGATCGAAGATGCTAAACTTAATCAATTACGACGTGAAGGCGTAACATATGCACGTGTGCAATTGCACGATAATGACATTTATTTTCTACCCCGTAACATAATCCACCAATTTCGCACAATCACTGGTAAGTGTTACGTTTGATCATCCATTTCATTAATCATAATTCATTGATAATTTAGCTGTCACTTCGATTGCCTGGCATGTTCGACTCAAAAACTATTATCGAGATACACGAGCCAAAGATGACAAAATAGCCACCGACAATCAACCCGGCGATGCATCATCATCAAACGTTTTGGACGACAATAATCGTTCTCATAATCACCATCAACAACGAAAATATTCGATGTCAAAAAAATCAAACAAACGTTCCGCTGATGATGTCCCCAATGATGATAATAAAAAATCGTTGGATAATCGAAAAAACAAAAGAGCTCGCATTGCCTATTCTACTGTCGATTCAGAGATTGCCAAGTCCAAATCATCATTACGAATGGAAAATGGTATTCATTTTCGAAATCGTCGTCATAGTGAAACACCTGAACAAAATCGTACCGAACGACCATCAAATAATGAACGTTTACAAAGCGAACCACCATCGATTCAGCAATGTGCATCACGTAAACAATTACTTATGAAATTTTTAAATGAAAATTCCAAAAACAAACATCGTACAGAGAAACCATCATGAACAACAAAAAAATATCAATCACCAAATGATCATAGCTAATCCAACTAGTCGAAATTCCATTCATTTCTTCTTTTTTTTTGCTTTTCGCTCACACTTTTTTTCTGATCTCTTTTCTGGCCCCCTACACACACAAATTCTAATCTGATTTAATTTAATCATCAAAATTTTACATCCACCAGATTCATATTATTATTATTGTAAAAAAAATTGTTCATTATACGATTATATATACAGTTTATTTCCCCCCCACCATCATCATCACCTTCACTTCATTAATGATCAGATGATAATTATTATTACATAATATATATATTCAATATAAAATGGTTGATTGATTATATTTACTAATTTGATTTTTTTTTAATATTTATAAAAAATAACAACATGCAATCCTTATTTCATTATTACAATCGCACATTTCTAAACAATCACACTGTGCAAAAAAAAAAGAAATGATTCACCTGATGGGTATTTTTTTCTGATTGATTTGATCATCATGTGATAATGTGAAATTTTCAATAAAAAAGTTTGTTCAAATTATTTCACACTAGATGGCTGTAGCTTTATTATCGAGTATGATTATCACATGTTTATGGTTGAAGTTGTTGATTATTTTTCGGTTTGAATCATTTCAAAAACTTTGAAGAAAAAAACAATGTTGCCATTATTACGGCAAAAATTTCGTAATCTTTATGATACGATTCGTTTTCTACCGAAAGTAACTCGTCGTCGAATATATTTGACAACATCGTTGGTAACAACAATGACAACAACCGGTATTTATGTTGGTTTACAAACAACAAAAATCGAAACATTTGTCAATCATCTTCAAATGTACAGGTATGTATTGTATGTGATCATTCAATTAATCATATTGATTTATTCACCGAATCAATCAATGAAACAGAATGAAAATGCCTTTTCCTGTGAATGAAAAACTGATCGATTTATTGAATGAAACAATCAAAAATGATGGATTTAAATTCAATTCAAAACGTATTGATCTATTCAATACATTTGGCTGTGATATTTATTCAATTGGAAATGTTCATTTACCAACTGGTGCTTATATTGGTGTACCATTTACATTTAATTTGGAATCAATACGGCAATTAAATACGGATGATATTCGTCTGTTGGGACGTTATAAAACAAAACGATCACGTGATTCACCTGTAATCAAACAATTATTTGAATCATTAATACTTTCAGATGATGCTAAACAATTTGCACTTTCACATCAATTACATTTATTAAGTTCATCATATTTTTTTATCAAATCTTTAAATATTATGACAATGACCGGTTTATATATGTGGTTGGTACCGAAATTTAATCGTTCATTAGGTTTTTATGAAAGTAATAATCTAACACGATCATTACGATTATTACCACGTATGTGTGGTGCTTTATTCTGTATGTTTTTAATGACAACCATAACAATTGTTTCGGATCAATTTCTTGACTATATTTATGATTTAAATTGTTTACGTAAAACAATTCGACAAAACGATCAACATATACATGGTGGATGTGAATTTTATCAAAAATTAATTAAACGTAATCAAGCTATGTATGAATTACTGGCGGATCATGGTCCAAAATTTTTCAATAAAAATGGTGATGTTAAACGTTTGTTTGGTTTATATACAACATCATATTCGACACATTTGGATTTTCTTAATTCTCAAACTACAAACAACAACGACAACAACAATTCCTAAATAAATGTCCATCTTTTTTTGTTTTAATTCGATAAATAAATATCTATAGTATTCATTTCATTTCCAATTCCATTTCTTTCTTTGTAATAGAAATTAATCGTTACAAACGAAAAACAACATTTAGCGCCAAACAAGTCCAATTCGAAGATAATATGTATGGTAAATAGTGAATAAATCTTTCTCTCTTTTTTTTCAATCATTCGTTCACATACACTGCATACACACTGAAAAAGAAACATCCAAAGTTTGAATTGAACTGAAGATGATGAGAAAATAATAATATTAGCTATGCTATGGCTATTCTTCTGCTACTTCAAGTTTTTGGGCTTCAAGTTTCAGGTTTTTAATCGGAAGCTTGGGCGGCCATTATTATTATTATTATCGGCCACCATTCTTCTTCAAGCTTCTTGGGTTTGTTTCTTTTCGTTTCGTTTTGTTCGTTCGGTTTTTTTGTTGGTTGGTTGGGTTGTTGGCGAAGCGCATGCATCAAAAAACACACATTGAATGTGGTAATAATATTGGGGACTAACTTGGCCTGTTCTTGCCTTTTTTTCGTTTCGTTTCGACAAACTAAACACACTGGATTGGTTGTGTGTGTGTGATACCAGTCTTGATTTGGCATTCATGCAGCTCTGTACAAACAACAAGGTCCTGATGATATTCTTTTTATGTGTTTTAAAACTTTTTCTTTTCTTGAATGGGAAAAAAATCGGTTAATATTTTTTTTTCAAAAAAAAAGTTGCTTTGATTTATTTTTTTCATTTTGCCAAAGTTTTCTTGCATATTCTATCTTTTCCACATATAGAATCCTATTGCAATCATCATCATCATCCTCATAATCTTTTCATATCTTCTTTGTTGTTGTTGTTGTCAATGGTGATATAGTTTAGTTTTTTTTGTCACTAATATTTTCACTCATTTGTTTTTTGTTTACGTTTTTTTGTGGCCAAATGAATGCAAAACGGTCAACCAATCAACCATTGCAATTTTTAATCGCATCAAGCTGCAAAAGCCAAAAGCAACCCGAAAACAACCTGTTGATCATTAAAAGTTATTCCATCATTGAATCAAGTGAATCAAAGTGAAGTGTTTCATTCAATCAACAAAAAATGAATCAAATTTATAAGTGATAATTTCTTAACCAAAAAAAAAAGAAAAAAAAACATTACCTTAACATCACCAAAGTGTTAATAAAAATAATAATGGCCTATGTTAATGTAGCTGAATGGACATCTCAACATGTAGGCGATTGGCTTTATGGTAAGCAATCAAAACGAAAAAAAAAAAAAAAATATTCATTGATTTTGTTTCCATCATCATTGATTTTCATTAATTCATTGGGTGAAAATAGTGGAAATTTCAATTCATTTCAATTAATTCTCAAATGAATTCAGTTTCTGTTGTTGTTGTTGTTTGGCTGACATTGTTTTTTATCATTTAAATCGGAAAAAACATCCATCCAAATTACAACAACAACAACAACAAAAACAGAAAAACAAACAAAGGCAATGAGAAAAACAAAACAAAAAAAAATTAGATTTTATTTGATTTGCATCCATACATACATACATCTTTTTTTTTTGTCCTCTATTCATAATGATCGATATGTGTGTGTGTTTTACGCTTGAATAATCACTGCAAACAACAACAACAACAAAAAACATTACAAAACAAACAAAAATATATTACATAATGTGATTCAAATACAGACAAACAGACATTACATTAGTCTATATAGTCTGTGATGTATAAAAATGATATTAAAATCTGGATGTGAATCCCAGTTCCATCGATACTATTGTTCGGTTTGGCTTTTTTTTCATTGGAAAATTTTTTTAAATCAATAGATTTGATTAGATTAGTTTCGATATGCGATATGATTCGTGAAGAATTGATCGATTCGATCGAGAAATTTTCATCTTTTTTGTTCGGACCAATTTTCCAATTTTCTATCGAAATTGGCCCAGAAAAAATTTGTTTTAATTAAATTAATCGATTCATAACGCCACAACCAGAACTAACAAATCAATTTTTTCTTTGTGTGTGTGTGTTTGTGTGTGCAAAATTCATATAAATCGGATAATTTTCATTTGAATGTACTAACTGGACTACTGACTGGACTGGATTCCATTTAAAAAAAAAGCAGTAAACAACAGAAAAAACAAACTGGCCATATCCCCATCAATCATTATTACACAACAACAATAATAATATGATAGAAAAATAGAATCCTTTGCCGGTTGTTTTACATTCTGACTATATATATTCTGACATAACTGTCTCTTTTCATTAATATGAATGTGTAACACACACATATAATCAATTTTTTTCTACCAAAAAAAAAAGAAATGTGTAGGTGGAAATAGTGTAATAGTAAAAAAATCATTATTCTTTATAATGATGATGATGGTATGCCAAATCAACTAACCAACCGACAAACTACAAGGCCAATCAAATGAATTTCCAAATGAAACAAAATGATAATAGTAATTTCAGACCCCATCAAACCACCAACACAATGTTTTATCATCATCATCATCATTGCGTCATTATTATTATTTAAAAAATAATAATGGAACACTATCCAACCTAACCTTTTTGTTTGTTTGTTGTTGTTCTATGAACCATGCAGGTATTTCATTCATTCATTCATTCTTTAATGTTTACTTATTCTGTCTCTGTGTGTGTAGGAGAGTTTCCACAGCAACACACACACACACACAGGTATTGTTCCATTTCTATATTTTCTTTGGAACTTAATTCACATTTTTTTACATTTTGCAATTTGAAATTTTTGAATTTTTTTTTTACATTTTCGTTATGCAAAATGCGAATGAAAAATAAAAACATCAATATGCAATACATCATTCGTTCGTTCAGTCATTGAGTTTGTACTGATGTAAAATAAATTATTGATTATTTATGTGGAGAGAGAGAAAGAGAGAAAGAATAAATCATGAATGAATATCGAAAAAAAGAGAGTGATTTTTTGTTTGTTTGTTTTTTCACCAATAAATAATGAACTTTATTGAGAAATTTTCTTCCTTTCTCTCTTTTGCACTGATTCCATTCTTCTTCTTCTTCGTTTTTTTTCTCGAAAATTTGAAACATGAGATAATGGGAAAAAACAGTAGAAAATGAAAACCTTTTTTTTAAAGTTTTGCAAATTCAATTTTGGCAAAAAAAAAATCCATTATCAAAATCATCATCATCATTAACTAATTAACTATAATCTTGGGAAATGATATAAAAAAAGGGGTGATTCAAACAACGAAAAACACAGGATGTTCAGCACATCCTATCTTGATATTTTAGTCATTTAAGTTTCATTATCAAAATCCTAGTGATAATGATGATGATTATTTTGTCTGTTGCTCTATGAGGTGTGTCGTTGTTGTTGTTGTTGTTTTAGGGTCTGCAACCTTGCTTGATTTTTTTTTGATTGTAGTGATGGTGGTTTGTTTGTCCAATTATGCTACCTGCCATGCTAGTTTTGTTGTTCTCACCACTGAATCATTGACTTGGGTCAATTTTTTTCTTTGAAAAAAAATTGAACGAAAACAATTTGCCCTGAGGCTATTTTTTTTGGAAAAAATCAAGAATCATAGCACAACAGGTATTCCAAAACAAAAAACACAGTCAAATTCATAATGATAATGGTCTTTTTCGATATTTTTTCTTGGGGTGGTGGTGATGGTGGAATTCTTATTGAAATTCATTCAAAATTTGAATTCGATTCCAAACATCCACCCTGTATACAATCAATGGATGCAGTAGCTTGATGATGATCATGATCATCATTTTCATAAAAAAAAAAAAATAAAACCAGACCATCATTATTTCGTGCCTCTCGCATTGACCTTTATTTTTTTGTTTCATCATTCTCATCTTTATTCTGTCAAAAAAGAATATCAAAAGACCTTTTTGACCTTTGACCAACAAGTGTTAGGGCATCATCATCATCAATAGATGATGATGATGATGAAGAAGACCTTGAAATGAAATGTCACAATAATGATAATGTTTTTTTCTTCTTCTTCAGCAAAACCAACCAACCAATCACAATCACCATTATCATCATTGAAGATGAAACTTTTCTTCTTCTTTTTCTTCTTTTTTGTTGTTTCAAATTGTGAATGAAACAGACAGAAACAGAAACAGAAATCAAATTGATAGAAACACACATATGTTGTTGGGTGTGAATTTTTCATTTCATTTTAAAATTTAGCCGGAACATTTGTTTCTGTTTGTTTGTTTGATCATATCATATGCAGCAACGAACGAACAACGACCAGGCCTAGTGACCTCTAGTTTTTCTTTTCTTCATACTGCTGTTTAGTTTAGTTTTTGGCTAACGATACAAGCTAATATTATTATTTTTCTGATCCTATCCATCCATCCATCCATCTCATTCATATATGAATGACCCTGATGATGTTTGGTGTGTGCTTGTTCCGTTCTTTTTTCTAATAGTTTTTTCCCCCTCTATGGTTGTAATTTTTGGGTCATGTTACCCACTCTCTTTCCTTCGTTCTCAATCTTTGGTTCACAAAAGTTGACAACAACAACAAAGACGACGAAAGATCAACAAAATCGTGGGAAACACACACACATACAACAAAAACGTATGAATAACGTACGACAAAGCAAAAAAAAAACATAGAAACAAAGATAGCCATAGCCAGCAAGCATTTCTATTTCATTTCACGACGACGATCAATTCGATCGATAGATCGACCAAAAAGTCATTGGCTTCAGCTGACGACGAAGGCGACGACTTTACTTCAATGATCATTCATTCATTCATGGTAACACAAACCAAACCAAACCAAACCAAAATGTATTGAAAGAAATAAAAAAGCCAGATGTTGTCAATCATCTTTTCCAATCCATAGCAAAAGTAAAAGGGTCCCTCAATAGTACACACGAGTACAAATGTACCACCACCAACACCATCACGATGACCAAATAAATATCACCCTCAACATAAAAAAACCATCCAAATCAAATCTATTTAAACACCTGAATTATTATAATGATGATGATGATGACCATAGATTACCTTTACCCCCTCCTCCTCCCCCAAACACAAACAAAGTTTTATAAATTTTTTCACTCTTTCCAAACAAAACAAACAAAATTTACCTGGAAAACTGGAAAAAAAACTAAACGAAAGAAAAAGTAAAATATCCATCATCATCATGGATGACCTTTTTTTTCACTTTTAGTTCAGTTCAATCCTGATCGATGCTTATGCAATGATCATGATGATCAGGAGCATCATTCATAAACCTGTTTTTATATCTTGCCTTTTACAAACAACAACAAAATGAAAATGAAAATCTTGATCATTTCAATATATATTGCCTTTTTCGACCTTTGACCAAGCCAAAAAAGCATCATTTATTTCCCTCTCTTCTTTGATTTTTTAGTAATTTTGTTTTTTTTGTTTTTTCATTTTTTCATTTTTCTTCAACTATAACTAACCAATTTCAACTTTAGGTTTGGATGATTCAATATTACCATATGTACAATTTTTTGTCAATAATCAAATCAATGGATGTCGTTTATTATTATTAAGTGCACAGGATTTAATTAATTTAAATATCAATAAAATTGGACATCAAGAAATCATTCTGGAAGCAGTAGAATTATTAAGAAATTTACATTATAATATTACATCGGAAACATTACAAACAATTGCATTACGTTTAGCATGTAAATCACGAGCATTATTTAATCAATTGAAAAAATCAGCAGAAAAAGCTGCTGCTGCTGCTGCAGCCGAAGCAACCACATCGACCACAAATTTCAATCACCCTATATCGGATTCAGATAATCATCATTATGTAAGCCAAAAAAAAGATAAAAATAAAGATAAAGATAAGGATAAAGATCATCATCATCATCAACAACAGCAACAATTAAAACAACAGCAATCGATTGAATCAACAATCGATTTATCACCAGTATCAACAACAACATTAGCATCCGTATCGGATATATTATCAGCTGTTAAAGATTTTATATCATGGATTGATCGTTATCCATTTGATGGACAAGATAAATATATTCAAGCACGGAAATCAATATTACAATTATCAATTGAATTAACATCAACAGCACAACGTGATCAACAATTTGTACAAGGTCCAAATGAAGTAATCAGACAATGTTGTAAAAAATTAGCTGATCTTTGTGATCGTTTAGTACAAGAATTAAATGATTCATTAGCAATACAAGCAGCATCATTAGAAGTGGTTACTGTTACAAAAAATATGGATGAAGATTTAGGTATGCATATACATTCATCATATTCAGGTATACATGTTGTTGGTGGTCTTAAATATCATTCACCTGCATATTTGAATGGTAATATTGAAGAAGGTGATGAAATTATACAGGTTAATTATCAAACAGTAGTTGGTTGGCAATTAAAAAAATTAGTAGCATCGATGCGTCGTTTTCCCACCAAACTAATATTGACGGTAAAAAAACGACCACGTCATCATTCAAGTGGTTCATTTACGGTTGTACCACAATTTGCATTACCATTACCCGAAATGTCTATTATTGGTAATTCAAGTTTACCATTAGGTGCAACATTATCCGGAATTTCTAATGCTAACATTTATAATACTGCAATTATGATGTCCACTGGTGGTGGTGGTGGTGGTCAACAATATCCTCCACCATCATCATCGACAACAACAACTAATCAATCAATCAATAACAACAACAACAACAATACACAATCGCAACAACAACAATTTCAATCGATGCATAATAATGATAACAACAACAACAACAACAGTTATGATATTATTTCATCAACAACAACAACAACAACAAATTTGTTAAATAATAATCAAGATGAAACAATCAAAATAGATCATAATAATCAACCACAAAATCGTAAACCATTATCATCAATAATGATTTCGATGTCTAAAATGTTAAATAATAACGATAATCATGAAAACAATAATATTGATAATTTCAATGAAAGAAATCATTTGGATCATCATCGAAACAATCATCATCATAATCAATCAACAAAAATTATCGAAAACAACAACAACAAATCATTTAAGAATCGGAATCGTTTGATTCAACAACAACAACAACAACAACGTTCCAAATGTCAATCATCTGATGATGATGATGATGATGATTCTTCACCATTATCTGATTTATCCGATGATGATGATGATTCATCTACAATGTTTTCCACTGATTCTGATACTGATTCTGATTGTTCAAATAATCGACGTCATCATCATCATCATAATCATCATCAACATCAACAACATCGACATTCACATCATCGTCATTCACATCATCATCATCATCATCAAATGAATGGTAAACAACAAACAAATAAAAAAGCTAAATCAAATCCAATTACAAATGTCATCAATTTGCAAACATCATCATCATCATCAACAACAACAAAAATGGTAATGGCAAAACCAACAGCAACCATAACGACAATAACGCCATCTACAGTTGTTGAAATGCGAACAAAACATGATTATTGTTCATCAGATCATGATGAATTTGGAAATTGTGAAATTGAATGTGAAGAAGATATTGAAGAATATAATGATAATGATTCGGCTTTCTATTCTGGTAGACGTACAACAACATCAACATCAACATCGACAACAAGTTCAAAAAATGATGATACAAATAAATTAAATACAACAACAGCCGCCACAGCAAAATCATCATCAACAGGTGAAAAAATCAAAAATCTAACCAATTCATTTGTTAAGATACGTATATCGAAACAAAAATCATCATCATTATCATCAAAAGAAAATGAAAGTATCGATTCAGGTGATTCAGGTATTCGTGAACGTGATGATAATGATGTTAATGTTAATGTTAATGTTGTTAATGATGAAAGAACTGATGTTAAACCACGTACCAGTGCTGAATTTGAACAATTATATCTTATGCAACAGAATCCAGCGTCTACCACCACTGCTGCCACCTCTGCCACTTTACCCAATTTAATGATCAATATGAACAAAACAACAAACAAACAACAACAATCGTCGACAACAAAAACTTTGAATACGACAAAATCATTTGATAATGACCATTCGATGATGATGAATCGTACACAATCACTTACATCCATACAATTATCAACAATAACACATTTGACTAGTTTGGCAAAAAATATTCGTTTTGCTAATATGGCACAGGTTCAACAAAACAATAATGTATCACTTGCAAATAATACACATTCAAAATCAAAATTTGATCCGGTTTTAGGTAAGTTTTTGTTTGTTGTTGAAAAATTTTGTTCTAATTTTTTTGTTTTGTTTTTTCATATTAAGCATCAAAAATTGAAAAAACTATTCATAAATTAAGTAATGGTGATTTATCAATGGGAAATTATCATGGTTATCTTTTTACATATCAAGGATCGGAACGTATTGGTGGTAATAGTCTGGATATACCAACATTAGGTATAATAACCGAACAAAAACAATTAAAAAAATGGACAAAAATTCGTTCAGTATTAAAAGATAATTGTCTTTATTCATATCTAAATGATTGTACAAATATTGCTTGTTTTGAAATACCAATTCATTTACCTGGTTATTATATACTTGTTGATAAACAAATGTTTTTAGATCAATATGATACTAATGTCAATGTCAATGATAATGATACTGTCAATAATGATGATAATGAAGATGATACGAAAACACTTAAACAATTGGTCATTTTTAAATTAGTTACATATCATCGTTTATTTATGTTTGCTGTTGATTCATTGAATGAATTAGTTAGATGGATTGTTAGATTTGGTTATCGTTTTTGTTGTAATCCAAGTGAACAACAACTTTGTTTTACATATTATTTATCACCAGTACATATTGGTCAATTACCATCATCAACAACTACTACTGTTACTAATTCAAATTCAAATCGATCATTATCATCAAAATGTTCAACATTGGATAGTAAAGAATTTGAATCAGATGATTATCATGATTTATTAACAATAAAATCTAATGATTCTGATGATGGTTCAACGCAAAATCATGTTAAATTTCAGAATGTAAATTGCACATCCACTAACAACGATGATAATAATAAAGATGCCCATAGATTTATAAAATCACCACATCCACGTGGTTCAATTCGTTTTGCTGTTCGTCGCTCGGGTCAGGATATGGATTTTATTGATTCAACGATCGATGTGAAAAAAACATTGGCCGAAACATTTTGTTCAAACACTGAAACTTTGATAAATGATCCACCACCACCACCACCAAATTTACCACCAAGACCTGCCAGTTCTTCAACAACTCAAACTATCACCGTTCCTACAACTACACAAACAACAACAACAGCGATAACAACAGCAACAGTCACATCAGATCAAATTCCAAGACCCAAACCACGAATATCAAAAATGGCCATTATGAATGGAACAACAACAACAACAGTCAACAACAAAGTGCCAACAACATTATCTTCTTCTTCTTCTTGTGTGCCATCATCACAATCAACAACATCTAATATGATTACATCGGCTGCACAACGTTTAGCACCGATACCAGTGCCAGAAAAATCTACACACATTAGTCAAACAATACAACATTTTGCCAATCTACAAAGACAAAATAATCTTCGTAGAAGTTTTGCTCAACAACAACAACAACAACAAATTACAACAAAAAATCAACAACAACAACAACAAATGAATTATGCTGATTATGATTATATAATTAATAATCGACCTAAACAATCAACAAATGATAATCAATTAAAAACAACAACAACAACAACAAGCAATATGAATAATCCTCATTGTAATATGCAAACTACTATTGGTAATCCATTATATTGTCATGTTGTTCCAATGTTGTCGAATATTGCTGATAATTCTGTTCATCATCAATCAACAATATCATCATCATCATCGACAACAACTTCATCATCATCATCATCGGATCATGATGTTTTACGATCATCATCATTACCACCGTCGATTGATCCACCACCAGCGCCACCACTTCAATCATCATCATCATTGCAAACAAATGAAAATATAGCACCAATTGTTCCACCTAAACCAAATCGTAATGAATTTAATAGTAAGTATTTTTGATTTGAAAAAATGAATGTTTTTTTTAAAAACTTATTCTTTTTTTACTTCCCAAAACAGAAAAAGAAAAAGAAAAAGATCAAATCGAAACACCACCACCGCCACCGCCAATATTATTGCCAAGACGTCCAATAAATACGGGTCAGCAACCACCACCAATACCAACTACATCACATCCACAATTATTACGTTCGAATAGTAATCAACAACAACGTCAACCACCACCACCTATACCACCACCAGTTTGTCCAAAACCAGATCTAATCAAATGTTTAGCTGCTGCTACATCATCAACAACAAAATCCAATGGTGGTAAATTTTTAAATCGAAGTTTTTCCGATGCTACAACGAAAACATCAAATTCTGTTTCGAAAACGTCAAATAAAAATCAACGAAATAATAATCAGCAGCGGCGACCATCATTAAAATCCAGGCATTCATTAGAAGAATCAACTCAGGATGTTCGACAAATTGAAAATTCATCTACCATCAATGATGATTATGATGAAACGGGCATCTTTTTCGACAACAACAACAATAATCAACAACAACAACAGCAACAACAATCATTTTATCGTACTGAATCGATTGGATCATTTGATGATCAACAACCACAAACACCAACAACAAGTATATCAACAAATTTTGATATATCACCAACATCATTATCTAATAATAATAGACCAACAATGGGTATATCAATGTTGGCTAAAAAAAGACTATCAAATGTTAGTGCCGATAGTTTAGCTATTGAAAAAGCATTGAATTTACATCATTCAAATACAAATAATACAAATAGCACATCAATTACATCCGGATAATGTTCAATATTTTATTTCAATCAATCTTATGTAAAACCGAATTTTCAATGTAAAAAAATTTCAAATTAAAAAAAAATTTTATTCTTTAAAATCCATTGATAATTGTCTTCGTCGTTTTCGTTGTTGTTGTTGTTGTTGATGTGTTGATGAATGATAAAATTGTTTGGATGGCTGAAAACCATGTTGCCAATACCAAACAAAAGAAACAGTACCTAATGTTAACATTGCAAATGCTAACGAACCAAACAATATATATAACCATAATGGTAATGGCCAACAATAATAACTACCATATTCATAACCTTTACAATATGATGAATATATATATGAATCAAGTAATGATTTTTCAAATAAATCAACATCCGAATCGTTACATTTTTGTTGAATATATGAACGTGTACAATCAAACCATTTCCACATTGAACAACATACCTTTCGATCAAATTCAGATGAAATATCTTCATTAATAACCTGTTGACTTAGATCAGAAAAACGATCTAAATAATCAACATAACAATTACGTTCACCAATTACAATCAATTCACGACATTCATTCAATAATGGATTAAGTAAATGATTTATTTCATTTTCAATATTTAATATATTTTCATTTGTTGTTGTTATTGTTGATTTCAATTTTTGATTATCCGAATGTGATTGATTCAATGATTTTAATGTTGTCGTTATTATTGGATGGATATTCATAACGAATGTTATAATAATAATGTAAATTAAAATCATGATGGTCATCATGATTTATTCGCTGATCTGATTTTATCAAAGTCAAATAATAATAATAATAAATGGCAACATTTTCTCATCATCAATGTTTTTTTTCTGTGTAAATATACAAGAAAATCACCGTGGTGATTATCCACTATTTGGCCAAAATACAATCCTTGTGTTTACCATTTAATATGTGTGCCAATTTTATCATCATCATAATTCACCATGGAAAAAACCATGACATTTTTTTTTTTTGAAAAATTCCAGAAAATTGTTTTTCCTTTTTTCAAATCGATAGATGGCAGTCAAGTTGTCGAATTCAAATATCTTTTTTTTAAAAACAAATCATTGATAACATCGTATCATATCGTATAAGTTGGGTACTTTTGTCAATTCGATGTCTAATCAAATTATACCATGATACCATGATCATCATCATGATAAAAACATCCCATTTATTCACACCATCGATCGATCGATGGTACCACTGACGGTCTTGTAATGAGAAAATGAATATTCATATTTGGGATATTTGTTGCATTTTTGTTGTTGTTTTTCGGTTTGGTTTTTCCACAATTAGTAATACCACTCTTTGTACAAAAAGTGCCCTGGATTATATATACGAATAATCGATGATTGATTGATTGATTGATCGATGATTGATTGAATAAATCAAAGTTCATTTTGTGTTCTGTTCGTCATAACACAATAATCATTTGATAATTTTCTTTTCTGGCTAATCAAATTGAAAATATTTTGTCTCCTCATTTTCTATATATATATACATTGTGGCAGTGCAACAACAAAACGAAACGAAACGAAAGAAAAAAACATTTGATCATCAAATCTTCAATTTTTTCAACAAAAAAAAATATTCATTTCATTTTTGTTGTTTTTTAGTGTGGTGGGTGTAAAATTTCTTTGAATCTGTTTCTGTTTAGTTTTGTTTGTTTGTTTGTTTTTTACAAGACAGAATTTTTGTTTTCTTCTTCTTCTTCTTTCATTGTTTTTGAATACATTGAATGGATTCTACCAATCGTCATCATCAAATCATTTTGGAAAGTGATTCATCAACAACATCAACATCAATTGTATCAACATCAAAACCAATAAGCGGTAAAGATATAATCAATATACGTATGATTAGTGGACGAACAATTGATTCAACAACAATACCAACAACAACGGCTTCTCATCATCATCATCATCATCATCATCATCAACAGGCAATATCATCAACAGCAGCATCATCGGCTGCTACTGATGCAACAGCAATTGTACCGGCCATAATGAATACAACAACAGTAGATACTATTATCGATGATATTCGTATAGATATATCAACACAACAACAACAACAATCAACAAGTCAACAACAACAACAACAACAATCATCATTATTGCTTACAACATCCAATACACGTATAGCAAAAACATCGAAAACAAAATTTTTAATATTAGGTGCAGCAAAAGTTGGTAAAACATTATTATTACGTCGTATGCAAAATATTAATTGGCCATTTATTAATGATACATCGCTGTATAATGCAACAATTGGTCCGGATTTACATCGATTAAAATGCGGTAATATTGAAGCAATCGATATTGGTGGTCAACAACGTTATATGCCAATAGCAAAAAAATATTGTGAATTATTTCAAACGTTTGTCATTGTTTTCGATTTGACCGATATGAATACATTTTTAGCTGCAAAAGATTGGTTAGAATTTATACATACACATCATCTTATCAAACCAAAACGTATAATTTTAATTGGTAATAAAATTGATCTTGAAAATGAAAGAAAAATTTCAAAAAATCTTGGCAAAAATTTAGCCATGACATATGATGGTGATTATCATGAAATTTCAGCTAAAATGGATCTTACTATGGATAAAATCATCGATGCACTCGAAAATAATAATGGTAATAATATTGTTGGTGATAACAACAACAGCAGCCAAAATAACGATAAAAACAATTCCAAATGATAACACACATATATAACATCTTTTTTATACATCGAATGTAATCAAACAAACAAACAAACAAACATACACCTACATTAAAAATTTCAAATTCATTTTTTTTTCACTTAGCTCAGCTTTAATCGATTTTTTTGTAAATAAACTTTTTTCTTTCTTTCCCTTTTCCCCATGCTATTACTCATTTGAATTGCCATCTTGAGAAAACAACAACAACAACAACAACAAAAGGACCAAATCTTTTTTTTGGATATTTTGGATTGTTTAGTGTGGTCCAATCAATCAACAATCCATGGTCATTATTTTATTTTCATTACTTTACCAAATAATAATAATAAAACCAAAAAATTCAACATTCAAAACATTTCATGCCTAGTGTAAATATTTTTTTTCTGTTTTGTTTTGTTGATTGGAGTGAATATTCTTTCTTTCTTTTTTTTCTGTACAAAACATTCGAAATTGGATTGTTTTTATTTCACCAAATCGACGAATTTTTCACCCCAAAAAAAACAGGAAGAATCGATTGATCACATCGATTAATCGATCGATCATTATCATCATATGATCATCAAACATAGGACCAGGTGTATTCATTCATTCATTCGTTCATTCATTCGGATACGATGATATGACAGAGATCAATTGATAAAATTATATTATCGATTGAAGCAATTGAATGTTAGGTCGATTCAATTCTATTGATTGATTGATTGATTGTTTAATCGATTCATTGATATACCAAAAACAACAGCAGATGATGAACCCTGTGTAACTAACACATCCTTTTTTCTGTTGTCGTTGTTGTTGTTTAGCTAATTTGTGTGTTGGGCACATTTTTCCTACTTTTTCGTTTCGATCGTTTTTTTTTCAATCATTATCTCAATCAATTATTCCGGTGGGGAAAAAATTCTGAATCTGACAAACACAGAAAAAAAACAACTTAAACAAAAGGCTTAGAACAAAAAAGAAAAAAAAACTAAAAAAGAAATCCAAGAATTTTGTTTACTGAATCTTCTGTGAGTATAGTTAAGATGCTAAAGCAGAAGAAAAACAACAACAACAACAACAACAGCGAATAGGAAGAAGAAATTAAAATATTTCATCATTTTTTAAGCAAACAAACAAACAAACCAGAAACAAAAAGCTTATGATTAAATTTCCGTTTATTTTGGCAGCTACTTACAGAATTATTATTATTATTTTGTTCAACAAGAAACAAAAAACCCTGAAAATGAATGAACTCGAACAAACAATAAGAAGAAGAAGAAGAAGAAACAAAAACAAAAACAAAAAGTTCATTTCAAATTCCAGTGTTGTTGTGCAATATGCAATCATAAATATTATAACCCATGAGAATCAAGTTGGATGAACTTTTTTGTTTTTCCTTTCCATTCCATCTTTCCCTCTCTAATCTCAATGGAATAAGATGATGAATCTTTCTCTTTCTTCCTCCAATGTGTATTCTATGTTTGCTTGTTTGTTTTTGTTTTTTTGCTTATTTCCGGCTCAAAATCATTTGCATAATCCATCAATCCATAGAGGCAGAGAGATAGAGAAATTTCAAATTCAATCAATTTGAAGCAAAACAAAATGATTAAATTTACTTTCATCATTCAAGATTCAATCATAATCAGTTAAATTAGTTATTTTTAAAAAAAAGAAATCAATTTCGATTCCGATTTTTTTTCCAATCAACAGAATTCCATAGAAGTTTTTTTCTTCTGAAGATTCTGTGCAAATAAGAATTCAACAATTTTTCTTCATATATATGTATATATTCTAAAATAAATGAACGAACATATAAAAACCTAATCTCATCTTACAAGGAATTTGCAAAGCACCAAAAAAAAAATGTATTTCATCCATTATTTGACGTCAGATTTCAGATGCCAATTCTCCAACAACATCAACGACAACAACAACAACAAGTTGAAATTAAAATTCCAATATGGAATGAATGAATAAAAGTGCAAAACTTAGTGCAAAACATTTTATTACGGATTCCGGTTTTATTTTTTTCTTTTTTTTGTTCGGTGAACAAATGTAGCCCGTAAGGTGAAAATTCCATATTTTTTTCTTATTCTCATTTTGACTGACAACTTATCATGGTTACAAATAATTTATATTTAGAATTTTGAAAAATGAAATTCCAATTACCTTTTACTGAAAGATTCATTTTCTCTTTCTCTCTATTAGGTGTTTGTGTGCGCGAATGAAATAAGAAATCAAGAAAAAAAAAATAAAAAAATGAAACAGAATTTTCATTTTAGAATTGTATTCCCTTTGGTGAACAAAAAAGCGAATCAAATTTCCAATTGTGCACATAATTGTCCATTACCAAAAAACAAAAGACCATATATAACATATTTGCACCAAATGAGAAAATAAAACCGTTGAATTAATCAAACGCAAAACAAAATAAAAATAAAAATCACACAACATCATCGTACTGTGTATATGTACCAGGGAACAAAAAATGTGTATGTATGTTCTTGATCCAGATATTTGATATCGATTCCCGGATCCAACATACAAACAAAACAAACCATATAAAAAAAATCAAGTTCTTGGCCATTTCGACATTGAAAACATTAAAAAAAAACATTGAAACACACAGACACTGTCAATGGCATTGATTGATAAATTATTTCCGTTTCATGCTGTTGTCGTTTGTTTGTTTGTTTGTTGTTGTCACCATTAGTGGTCTACAAAAAAACGGAATACCAAATACAGAATTGCATAAACAGAATACAGAATTGACATTTTAAACTTTTATTTTTTTTCATTTATTCGACAATATTGCTCAATCGATCTATTTTTTTTGACAAATTTTATCGATTGATGATCGGTTTTTCCTAGGTAACAATCAATTTTTCTTTTCTGTTCTTTTTTGGCATTTTCAATCAAATCGATTTAAAAAAAGTTTCAAATAGAAATTTCGATTTTTTTTCTTCAGTTTTTTAGTTTTAGTTTTTTCTCCCAAATATATATCCACACAGAAATCTTTTTTTTCTTCTAAATCGATATTTATTTATAACAAACAGAGACATATATCTCTCTTCATTTGTTTTTTTCCCAAAACACAACAATAATCATTATGTTTTAAATCGATTCAGTGATTTTTTTTCTCTTCTCTTCTCTCTCTCTCTCTTGCTCTCTCTCCGAAATAAAATGCCATAACAAAAAAAATCCAGTCATCAAAATCGATTCGAACAACAGAAACCAGAAGAAATTCCAAACAGAATTTACCAGTAAATTCATTCGAATTTTTGACATAAATTCTACATTTGCAAAAGAAGAAAACAAAAAAAAATGAAAAAAATATCATCATAGTGTGTCCTTGTCATTGAGTAATCATCAATATGACCTTGATAAAGACAACCAACCAAACATTAACATTTAAGAAGAAAGAGAGAGAGAGAGAGAGAGAGAGAGAGAGAGAGAGAGAGAGCGAG